AAATCTGTACACGATAATATTTCTATTACTCCAAAAAATCTATATCCCGAAAATGAAGGTTATATCTGCACATCATAAGCTGTTGGAGCCCAAAATTGACGCCAAAATAAGCCAATGTTTACCGTTCTTTTTACGACAAACACCGAATTGGTTACTTACAAAAATGAATCTGTCTTTAGGTTTGGAATTTTATCTGTGAAACGCCACACTCTTCTATGAAATCGCTTCATTAGTTCTCATGCAATAAGCGTTTTCGTGAAGCTCTAGAAATTACAACTACAACATTTCAGCATAGCCTCCATATCGAAACGTAAGACGTGTCCTACGTCAAAAATATATTTCGCACCAAAAGAAAAATGGAGGTGTAAATTTTGTATGGAATGGCCCATATGTACTATCAAGCGAATTGATTTCCTAATAGCAAGGCACCTGACACGCCTAAATATTTAACTACTACATTAAGCAGTGACATTTTCACATAATTTTATTTTTTTACATAAATAAAGATATCAGACAAATAATACAAACAGTGAAGAAGTAACCAATTATGAGACCACATTTTTCACATTTGTTTCAGAACACAATGGTTAGACGTATATTGTTGTTGATTTTGTTTTTGTTTTTTACCAATCATTGCCAAATTCACATCAATACATAAATATTCACACACTTATGCATGTATGTATATATGTATAATTGATGGCATTTTGTGTGATTCTGTGTTAGTGTGTATGACAATGTGAACATTTATGGACAATAAATTAACCAATTATACACAATACAACTTCTGTGAGCATTGTAGTTACAAATAATGAAATGAAAATAAGATTTGTTAAGCAATAACAGAAACGTAAACGTGTTAATTAATGTTAATTCAACAAATTAGTTTATCAAATATGTATTTAGTCAAGATGAATCCAAATTAGGAGTGAATTGAATGTAACTAAATAAACTTTGTGCTAACACAATAACAACAAGTGATAAAGCGAATCGATCGTTTACCTTAACCCGTTGCAGATCAATTGGATTCATAATTGTGCCTTGAAAGAATTCCACTGTCGTAAAATGACGCTTGAATAAACCCTCAAGTTCCAAGTCGGGTGGTTTACTTTTGAAATTTCAGTTGAAAATTTTGTGTGGTTTTACATACATATGTAATTAGGTGATTTGTGAAAGTGTGCGTTATGGAAGTACCAGCAGGAGTTAAAAATACAGCAGGTGTATGACACCGTCAAAAATAAATATTCAGTTTTCAAAAACAAGGCGTATTTTTTTTATTGAAGCCATGTGAGGACATTGTTTTAATGTTTTGTATTTGTAGTTGTTTTGTTTTAAATCACGTCAGGTGTTGTTGTTTGAATTTTTATTTTTTTTTGTAGGCAAATTTGAAGATTCACAAAAATTGTTGAGTAGTAGGTAATTTCAATATGGAATGGAAGAAAAACAAAATTTTGCAAATAATTAATTTCATATTGAAATGAGCATCATAATAAGAGTAAAATTAGTAAAATAAACGTAAGATTACTACCCGAAATTTAAAAAAAAAGCTTATGTGTTAAGTGACGTAAATAGATATTTAAAAAATATATATTTTCGTAAAGATATGCAAAATAATATTTACAGATTGTATGCACCTTTGGAATATATCTTTACTAGATCGTAATAAGTACGCTTTATATTATTGATATAATTTTGTTTGCATATGGCAATGAAAAAATTTTCGTTAAGCGAGCCTAACTTAATTTTTAGTTGATGTCAAAAACACTAATTTTAATTTCTATGCTCCCATTCTTTCTATCAGCCCCTACCTGCAGTTCACACATAGCAACGGTAAAAAATTAAGTTTAAAAGAGAAAAGCTCCATTGGTAGACAAATATGCATGTTCAAATTTAACTGTTTTTCAAAAAGGTTTCGGCATATTAAATATACAAAAAAAAAATTTTTTAGAAACGAATTGATGCTTAAAAGCACCGGTATTCAGAAATAATTGAACTCAATTTGAAGTTTTAATAGTTTTCAGTTACAATACTTGTACTCAGTAAAGTTTGCCATTCATTTGACGTAGTTTATAATAAAAATAATATTTTAATCTGACTAAAGTGCTGCCAGCTTTTGAGACTTCTATACTAAGTATTTATATTTAAATAAAGCATGTGTATATTTAAATAAAGGAAATAATTAACGCTCTCAAAAATACAAGATCCTCAAAAGTATCGATACTGAAGAACTCGATCGCCAAAAGTACTCAATACTTGACAACACTACTTTGTACCGTGGCAGACCTTGGGAGAGGATGCAATGTCACGATAGGCCATTAATGTTTTGTTTGATTTGTTGCGACTGGATTTTGACGATCCAAGAGCAAGCAAGGAAAACGATGTGTCATTACTTCATTAGTTTGCATTGTGGCATGGCAATCGGAGTTACCGGCATAGAGAGTTGTTTAGAAAATTGTTGGAGCAGTATCTCTATTGCTTTTCTGGTACCTAATGAAAAAATGACACCTAAAGTTTCTTTTGAAAGAAAGCTACACCTATGAAAACTTTTAAAGTTTGGCATAAAAAATACGGAAATTTAAGTTAGCCTCGCTTTTTAGTATTAAATCCATTTGGTTTAATATTAATTACAAAAAAAAAAATATATATGTTTGATTCTTATTTTAAACTTAACTAGTTTTGAAACTTTAGTAATACACATTTTTTCTAAAAACGAAAGCGCTAAGTACGTAGTAATACAAAATTTTAAGACGTAACTGTATATTTCTGCAAACTGCTAATATTATAGAAAAACGAATTTATTATTGCATAATTAATAAAAAATCAACAATAAGAAATTCTACTTAGATAAAATTACACTAAAGTTTTTAATATGCAAACTATTTGCTATTAAGATATGGAAAATATAAAGTCAATTTCATATTTTTTTTTATTAGTTGGCTGTCAATGAAAGCGGAGGTTTATTGAAAAAAAGTAGTTGATTTAATAAGTCATAAACATTCTAAAAGAAAAACGCTGCGGAAAAACTATGTTTACATACCACTAAACGCTCTAGAAACAGAATAAGAAATCGTTGGCAAAGATTTACTACTTGAAACTCTCAAACAAGACAATATCGATTAAGGAAAAACGTCATTCCAAATTGAAGCGGTGATGAGGAATAAAATTTCATGTGTGTAATGCATCCTTTCAAAGTACACAATAGAACAAAATTAATTAATAAAAAATATAGGAAAAAAATGTCGACGAAAAGTCATAGAAAATCATGGAGAATGGCCAGCCAGGAAGAAAGATAAAGCGCTATTGCGTTTACAAAGAAAAAACAAAAAAAAAAAATAAACAAAAATGTCACTCGAACCCAATCAATCAAAATCAATGGCGATTTGAAAGCAAAATAACAAAACGGAATCTCTGGTGGACAAAGCACTAAAAAGGAACAAAAAAAGTGTAGGACAAAAAGAAGTAGAAAATATGGCCAGTGGCAAATTTTATGATTAGACAAAATGAGCTGAGGGCGCAAAACTACAAAGCAAAAAATGGTAGGTGGGTGTTTGGAATGGTAGTAGCGGTGGAGTATCAAATAAGAGTAGAAAAATAGAAAACTTTTCCGACAGACATACACACATTTGGTTCAATCCATTTCAAATCCAGTAATAGTAGGAATTGACAATTTTTGATTTTGGTGAATTTTGATTAGAAGTTTTTATATAACGAAGTTCCGCCAAAGTTATGCAACTTTCTAAATTCCAAAATTTTCAGGAATAATGCATGTTTATTTTTTGAATATCTCGAAAACTGTTATAGCTATTGCTAAAGAGAAAAAAATATATAAATGAAAAAAAAAAAATATATACATATATGTACTCTGCCGGAACAAAGTATTGGCACAGCAAATTTTTCACAATATATGCATCAATTTTTATTCTAATATTTTTCCGCCAACTTTTTTTTATTTGTTCACTCAACAACAAAAAACATAAAAATAAAATTCCTAAACTTTGTGCAAAACTCGCGAAAATTCAGCAAATTTTCATCAAAATTTTAAAATTCTGCATACTCAAAAAAATTCTAAAAAATTATTAAAAAGTTGCAAATTTTGCTGAATTTTCGCGAGTTTTGCACAAAGTTTAGGAATTATATTTTTATGTTTTTTGTTGTAGAATGAATTATATTTTTATACGAAATTAGCGGAAAAATAACGAAAATTGTTGCATATTTTGTGAAAAATTTGGTGTGCCAATACTTTGTTCCGGCAGTGTATGTATATATTTTTTTTACAGAATTTTCAAATTAAAAAAATAGTAAAAGCAAAAGCTTATAGGAATTTTTGGTTCAATTGCTTCTACTATAGAGAATACCTCCAACTGGTCTTAAAAGATGTTAAATTTTTAAAAGTTTTTTTATAGATATCTATTAAATTTTGAAATTTAAAGAAAAAATCATGTCTTTAAGATACGCCTTGAAAACAATTTTTGCTTGTACGATTTTTTTAAATTTCGAAATTCTGAAATTTTTGTATTTTTTGGAGACAATGGTCAAGTCTGTTAATAATCTGCGGGTTTCAACCAACCAAATAACGTTCATCTACAGCGTACTGCGTGATAGAGCATAGAGTCAACAAGTGCCCTCCGCAAGGTGGTGTTCTCTCTCCTCTGCTCTGGATTGCTGCTGCAAACTACCTTCTAGAGGAACTGGAAAAAGGGAGCTGGCAGAATGCAGATGATGTGGCTGACTTGTAATCCCTTTTTTTATCTAGCTCAAGGCTACCTGAATTAAGTAACCAAGTGGGCAGTCAACTGGATGGAACTGGTCTTATTTACCAGGAACTACAAGTAGGAAGCTGTCGTGGAAGCTTAACATTGTAGGAAAGGGCGTCGGTTGCCTTGTACTGCTCTAGGAGAGGGAAAGTAATCCATTGGCTCTATAAAACCATCTTGTTTTGCGGCGCTTTTGTCTGGTGGAACTCACTAGTGAAAGTTGTTAAGCAACTGGAGCGTGCACACCGGATCGCCCTGCTCGACATTAGTAGCCACAGCTACACTGGCGCTTAACGTCATGTTGAAACTTGGACCTGCTGATATTGGAAGAATTCTTGCAGCATGATATGCTATTGGGCTCAGGGACACGGGGTGGTTAACTGGCTCGAAATTTGGAGACTCTGGAGTTCTTTAAGGCTTTGACGGATAGATTACTGCGCCACAAAATGTCTCCCAGTATCTCCGTCTCTGCCTAGGTTCCTTCAAGAGAGGACTGGGTAGGGTGGGGGTCCTGGAAGAAGGGAGCGGTAAACTTCTTAACGGATGGCGAAAAACTTGAAGGCAGGGCTGGTGGAGCTGTAAATCGGTAAGGGAATGTCTGACCTCGATATCACTCGCGTCGCAGTACTTCGTAGTAACGGTAGTTTGGGTGCTGGGTCACAGTGACATCATGGGAAACTTTGCCTTCGGGCAACCACTTTGACCTAACCTAACCCATATATAACCTTAAATTTTATCTTTAAAACGATATTTTGAAGAATTAACTTGCAAAATGCAGGAAGTTGTAAAATTTTTAACTTTCGAAAAATTTTTTTTTTTTTTCCTTTGGCAGAACTTCGTTATATGATAAAAGAAAAGTTCTAAGCAAAATTCATCCAAATAAAAAATGATAGATTCTAACAACTGGTCGATTTTCCATGTATTGACCCATATGTACATAGCCAGTATAGGCAGAGCGATTGTTAAGCCAGGACGAAAATATGGGCGAATTTATGTACATACATATTTATGTACGTAGGGAGATAATAGGTAAATCCTTAAAATCGTATGCATTGGTATACATACATACATATGTACGTACATACTCAAGTACATAGTTGTGGTAGCGATGAATTGGGATGGTACTATGGCAATATGGGAATTGGTCGAAAGCTCGCTGCATAGGGACAATGATGATGGTGATGTTTGCACTATGGTGGCTATTTTATACTACTGCGCAGATACACATGTGTCGTAACCGGCTAGGGGCAGGGACGCAGAAGGTGAATATCTGCTAAAATTTGTCTATGGCCACGAAAGATGAGGCGCACTCTATCATCTGGCAAGCATACATACTAGGGCGGTCAAAAAAAAAAAGTTAAGTCGGAAGTTTAATGCACTCACCCCCTAGAATTATTCTATATCGAAAAAATATTTCCTTGTTTTTTTATATTTTTATCAGGGTTCGTATTTGCACACACATGCTCTGCTCACACACACGCCAGATACACATTCAACTTGCACTCACTGCTCATACACATGTGTGTGCATAAGTGGAAAACAAACTCTGCTCACAGAAAAGTGTGTGCTGTTTGTTATTAAGCACATGCACATGTGTGTGAGCCGATTTTTGTACAAATTTCAGCCCATGCACATGCACATAATATATTTTTAAAAGAGTTTGTTTATTAAACGGTTTTTTTTTGAAAGACAATTCGATAAAAAGTGAGATGTTGTTTGTTTTTTATATTACAGAAAACATATTAAAAAATTATTTTAAGATTTGAGTTAGAAATCGAAGTGTATAAGTTTCTCTACGCAAAGCACGCACATGTGCGTGTGCCTTATATTAATAAAAATAAAGTACACACATGTGCCCGTGCTTTTTACCAAACGGCACACACATGTGATGTGAGCAAGTTTTTAATTTTTTATATGCACAGCACACATGTGTGAGCGTAAAATGTTAGGATGTGCTGCGCATGTGTGTGCAAATACGAACCCTGATTTTTATACTAAAGAATTTTAATTTAAAAGACTTTTTAGTGGTCCCCCATTGCATTTTTCTCCTATAAATTGGAGTTACTATGAAAAAGTGGGTAAATAAACAATTAGGTAATATTACTGGAAATGTTCTGAGGGCAAACAAAGCTTTCCGATCGAAAAATATTAATTTTCAAGAATTATGTACCATTTCTATGAAAGTTCTTTTTTTTCTTATATAACCCTGCAAAAAGTTGCACTAGGTTAAATACTAGTACAGGCCCACGCTACATTGTAACCAACATTAGTAACGAAATTGGTCCCAACATATAGAGAAAATATGGTTACATTAACATTGCGGTGTCATTGGACCTGACTCTCTGACCTCTGGTCCAACGCTGCATAATATGGGACCACCTAGACAACTACCCCTTTTGGACCATGGACTGCATATCATACGATTTTGTATATACCGAATATTTGAAAATCGCCGTGCCCATAGGCTATGAAGAGGTGGTGGTCCTTTTACACATACTACTTTAAAACTATGTCCCAGCAGACCACCTGGTCCTAAAACTTTTGCAGGAAAAATACAAGGAAAACTTTGACCACTAAATATGCAGTCGATTTTTTGATTTCAAAATAAAAAAAATAGGGTTTTATTTTTTCGATATAGAACAATACTAGGTGAGAGCATGAAAATTCCGACTTTACCTTTTCACACACACCCACATCCCTTTATTCAGTTTGCACCCGCACAGAAACATACATACATACTATGTACATTAGTGTGGTCCAAAAAATTAAAGTCGAAATTTTAATGCCGGCACCCCCTATGATTGTTCTATACCGTAAAATATATGTACCACTATTTTTTTATTTTATATGGGGACAAACAACTCTAGAGACTTCCAGTATCAATATCCAATTCTTTTTTTAACCTGTTTTTAAAACACTAAAGATTTTTTATTGGTCCGCTCATAGCATTTTTGGTGTTTTTCGCGAACCTATGAAATATAGTTAGCACGATGGTCAAAGAAAGAATTGGGTATTATTATTGGGAATCTCTTGAAGAGAAACAGCGTTTTCCGATCAAAAAATATTGATTTTCAAGAGTTTTGTACCATTTCTAGGAAATTTTGTTTTTTTTTCCCCATATAAAATACATGGAAAACTTTGAGCGCTTTGAGCACTCCTTAAATATTATTTGATTTCAAAATAAAAAAAATAGGGTTCTATTTTTTTCGGTATACCTAGAACAATCCTAGGGGGTGCCGGCATTAAAATTCCGACTTTGCTTTTTCCACATGCTTTTCTGGATCACCCTAATGTACAGGCATATATGTACTTCTTGCGCTCTATGTACATTCATACAAACAACCTTAAAACAAAAAGTTTGATTGCAATATCATTTGCACTGACATAGAAGAATTGCGTGTATCGGCCAGTAATTTATTTAGTTTTTTTTTTCACCTAAGGCACAGTGGGGCTTGGTTTGGATTTTTTTTCGCAGCTGGTATACAGTTTAAAATGTGTGTTGGGGTTTTTTTATTTGGTCTTTTTAAGGTTTCAAGGACTTGCAGTAAATGGTGTGGTTTTTATTTTCTCTTTGCGTTTGTTGCTGTTTTGTGTGTACCTTGACTCGTTCCAAATCGACTGCATTCATCATGGTGCCCTGAAAAAACGCCACTGTCGTATAGTGACGTTTCAGCAGACCTTCTAGCTCCAGATCAGGCTCCTTGCTATATACAGATTTGGTTTAGGATGTTCATATGGAGTTATTAATTGTTGGTTAAGATTCAGATTATGAAATAAAGTTATTAATGCTTGTTAATATAAAAAAAAAAACGAATATGTCGCTGAATCAAGAAATTTTAATGATATTCATTGTGTTTGCTTTTTAATTGTTTTAGTAATTGCAATTAGTGATAGTGCAGGAAATTGAAATAAATTAATTTTTACTTAATATGCATATATACTTAATTTATTTGAATAGTATAAACTGTTGCAAACATTCCCTATATAAAAAATACATATTTTAAAAATTTACTAGTTCCAGAACAAAGTGCATCATTTAGTATTCCCAACATTTTTATGCTTCTAGTATGTCTACAAAAATTGCTAGTACCACCACACTGTAATAAAAATATTTTTTTTTTTACAAAATCAAATATCTCAAGAACGAGAACAGATAGCAAATAAAAATAATGCATATAACGATATTTTAAAGCCTTTGAGATAAAAATTTTTTGGAAAAGTAGTATCGTTCAAAAAAATAGTTAAAATAACTTTGGAAAATATGTTTTGAATTATGTTATTTTTGGACCCGAAATCTTTTAAAAAATGTTGAAACGTTGTTGTTGTTCCAAAGCAGGGGATTTTCCGGTAAGTAATTACGTTCCTTATATGTTAAACGACGTGCTAAGTTAGAAAATCTCTTCAGTGGTCTTAAGAACTAGAAAATGGGTCGAATTTCGACAGTAACTCACCCTCCAAGTATTGCTTAAAGTGTTGAATGATTTTTCTACAAGACTTAGACTCACAATTTCATGTAGATAGTTTTCCGTGGATCTTGCTTTTATTTTTATGTACGCAAGTTGTGCATTTGAGCGTATCGTCAACAGGGGAAAGCAATCTTAAGCATAGTATTCTGTTCCTGTTTCACGTGAAAACGCTGTCGAATTGTATATAGAATTTTTTTCTGTGAAATAAGTGTGAAATTCAGCGTTGCCATTTTATATTTTTATTGGGTTTTAGCTCCTAGCTCTTTCTTTAGCTCTTTTCAAATTTATCTAGCACTTTTTTTAGCTTCAGAAAGTTTTAGTTGTTAAGCAGTTGATAAAATGGAAAATTTCGAAATGCAGTGTATCCACCATAAACTCTTGGATCTAGGTTAAAGAATTCAAAAATTAATTAGAAGAAAATCCATTTTCTGATAGCGCAGATTTTATTTTACCTTACTAACTTTACCTTTAAGGAGAGCTGAAAGTAAATCTTTGCAGAAAAATTTTGCGAAAAAATTATTCAATTCAAATATCTGAAATTACAGACTTTAACAGTTTGTAATGTATATTTAGTTCACTCCTATTAATGCCATATCAACGAATTCGAAATATATGCACCTTACTTTGGGTTTAAAAGATTTTTTCAGCACTTAAACATATAAAATCCGTTGTTTTTATTAAAGTTTCCGAAAATGTAAAAACAACCTTAGGTCAATAAATGCTCAACCTTAACAAAAATATATAGCTCTTCTTTTTAGCTACTTTCAGTATCATTTAGCTCTTTTTAGCTCTTTTTTCGACCGTTTTAACTCCAAACGAAATTTTTCTCTGGCAACACTGGTGAAATTCCAAAACACTTCCTCAGCAAAGTAGTATCTGTTCACGCTGTGAAAAAGCTTGCAACATGTTGGCAACATGAAGCCAGCAACACAATTATCATGACATTTTTAAATGCATATGTACATTTTAAATTGTGTGAAAACTGACAGTTTATCGAATTCAGTAGCGGCAAAAACAAAGGAAGGTTAAGTGGTTAAACCTTACCCAAACCGATCGTAAAACTTTATTTCACGAATGGCTAATTTTTATTAGTTTAGCAGGAAGGTAATCCCTCAAGGTTTAGCTTAAAATGGTTCCAGGGATATACCCTGTGATCATGTAACTTTCAAGAAGGTGTCACGCCCGTTTTTGTATGCATATATCGATTGGAAAAATACTCATCTCAGTATTCTAGGTAAATGCTTCCAGAGGTATGTATCTATGCGTCACCAGAATTTTAGTTTAAATGGGTTACCCCTGGCTCTTTTCAATGGCTGCGATAACGTTTTCATATACCCCCATTTTTCATAGGTTTGGGATTTAATTCATTTATCTCCATTCCAGCTAAGAAATATATAATGTGGATATATTAAAACAGCCTCCAAAACATTTACTAAAGATGCCTCTGAACTACACAAATCAGTTTGATTGAAAATTTGTTTTTATTTATTTATTTTATACTTCACTTTTGGGTGTGTAAAAATTTCATGTGAAAATAATATGTGTTACTGGAAAAATTTTACGGCTACGAACTGACTTCTAACCTTTATATGTAAATATCTATATCAGTGAAAAAAGTGGTTCTATATTCTCAGTTGGCAAAAAAACTTAAGGATCGATTTTTTCTAGACATCACCGGGAGTTGACGTTGCATCAATCGATGCGCAAAGCCAGCTTGCTAACCGCTGAGCTAAACACACCCCGTAAACTCTTGCTGCTTATCCATCATGTACTATGAATTAAAAAATCTAGAAAAACAATGCTGATGGAGTAGGAATCTTCATAAGAATGTCAATCGAAAAATATAAATTTACTGATTACGAAAACTTCAAGAGAATCAGTATGTACCAAGCTTATAAATACATACATATAAAAAAAAATGTTAAGAAGCAAAATGTTCGGAATATAAATAAATGCAGATAACGGTACTTTTTCAATAACCTGTTATAATGTTTGAAATATTAGCAACAGTTTGAATAAAGTAATTATATATAAACTGTTAACTACAGCACTTTCATATACATACATATGCATATTCGCATAAGCTAAGAATAAATCATATATGCATGTAATCCTAGCAACGTTAGTCTATTGTACTATCAATTTCTGCATACAGTATATATGTATGCAAATTTCCTGAATGGCGCATAAGCACACAAAGCCATTTAAAAAAAAAACAAACTTACATAAGTATAAACAAAGAATCATATACATATAGTTACTTACATAGAAGTGCATATATGCATGAAAATAACATACAAACATACATTTGTATGCTTAGCCACTTAAGAGTACATTGACAAAAGTTTTGAAAAATTCAAAAACTTACCGATGTAAAAATACAACCTCCACATCCACATCCTCACGATCCTCGTGCAGGAAATCCTTTAAGAAATGCGACACCGACTCGTACGTTATATGTCCGCAAACGACAATATGTCTATGCATTATTGTTGGGGTGAATCAACGGCACCGCACCAATCAAAAAGTCAGCCAGGCACGCACGCACGCAAGAGAGGTGTGCAGTCAGAAATGTCGCAATACGAGTCCCAGCCCATGAAAGTTCAAAGGACGTAGGCCGCGCCAACAGCACAAGAGACAAAGTGTCATAATGCGGGTACGTATACCAGGATGATGATGACGCAGCATTTACATTTTGATCGTCGTGTTGGGTGTGTGTATTTGTGACAAACGGTTTTACATATACAATGCAATGCGTTGCAAATTCGTTTTTATGTTTGAGTGATAAGAAGAAATGAAATATTCGATTAGAAAAAATGGTATTGGCAGGTGATTAGACGAGAAAAATTACAATACAATAACAAGTAGAACTGAATTTAGTTTATAGATATAATACGTTGTAATATATTGATAAGTATGTATATGTAGATATTTAAATGAATACAGATTCATATATATCGTCGTTTAAAGTACAAAACCGCGTATCAGCAAAATGCAAAAACCGCGTATGTGAGATTGCATACATTTTTTTCTAGAGAGTAAAAACACTTATATTTCAAAATGGTTCTCTTTTTTATAAAGCAATCGGATTTCTGGCTAGTATATTTCAGCACGAATGGATAAGAATTGAGCCAAGAGCCCGAGTGAGCAAATCCAATTTTTGGCAGCGAATGTCAGTTACGCGGTTTTGCAGAATGGCCATACGCGATTTTGTACTTTAAACGACGATATGTAAATGTGTTTGAATATGTTTCTTTATGTATGAATGTGATTTGCTATATGTGTGTGCATGGAAGTGTATTGTACTGTTGTTGTATTATAAATACCCGGTCGGAAAAGATCATATAAGCATGTAATGCACCCTAATGGGGTGGTAAAAAAAAAAATCCATGTGAAGAAGCAAAGTCGGAGTTTATATATACAAATTTCAATCTTTTTTCACTTCTTCAAAAGCTATAAAAGAACCAAATTTAACATTTTTTCGTCCATAAAATATGGAATTGACCTGAGGTCCAGAAAGCTTTGACGGGTTTTACTCTTTGAACATTCGGTATTAGTCCGTCCCTAAATTTGTGATACACTGTGCTATGAGATATACAAAAGTATTTACGTGTTCGACTTCCTGTTAGTTTGCAGTCACAAAATACCAGAAATTTGTGAAAACGACTAAGAGCAAGTCTTTAAAGTCATACATGATCAAATTTCCTACTGGGTACTTATATACATACATTTGTAAGTAATTGCTTATAATTTTTTTTTCTATTTATGTATGTATGTATATTTAGATATATATTTGTACGAGTATACATTTATATGTGTATACATATATATACATAGCGGTTAAAAGCTTAAGTTAATTTATGTAATTATTTAACAGGGTCAAAATACAGATATATGTACATAGTTAGATGTGTAAGTATTATGTATGTATATTATTTATGACATAAAATTTTGGCCTTAATAAAATGTGTTTGTTGGTTTACAATGAAAATTATGAAACTGTTGTGTTTTTTGTGTGTTCTTATTTGATGTTAATTTATAGATATCTATGTATGTATGCATGTATATGTACATGTACATGTTATGTGCTGGACGCAGCTCCAAATGTGTCAGTGTATGCTAATGCGCATTTCTAGCGAATAACCTTTTAAGCAGGCTTTATTTCTAAAACTTGCATTTAATGCATCGAGTGAGTATAAATGTACATATGTACATGTGTACAAAAATAGAGCTAAACCTATGCCATATGCTTGTGGTTGTGTGTTGTTTGAGTTCGTTTTTCAAATTGTGTGTTTGAAGTTTTGTGTGCGCATATATTTTCTTAAAACATATTTTTTTGTATGTATTTGTGTTTCTCTTAGTTAAAGTTTAGTAGTAAATTACATACATACATATGAAATATAATATTGCATGTATGTCTTTGTTGCATTTGATATTAAATAAAAATCATAAAAAAAAACAAATTTTAGATTTAGAAGGGAAAACTCGAAATAATTAAGCATTTAAATCGTAATAATTAATATTTTTAAATGCCGGATAAAAAAAATAGAATCATATACATACATATAATATGTATACATATTAACAAGAAATCAGAAATTATATGATAATTCAAACTTATATATGTAAAATTAAAAGAAATTTACAGCTAAATATTTAGTCTGCTACCCCGGAGTTAATATCAAATAAAATGTATACTACAGTTTGAACAAAGAAAAGGTTTGGAAGGGAAAGTTATTAAATACTCTTAAAATTATTAGTCAGGCAAATGGTGAACAACCCTAAGGTGGTCAAAACTATTATAAATTCGTAGAATTTATTGGGCCAGTTTTTAAAAGTGTTTTGTTGCCTGAAACTAGTCATTAATTAAAATTTTTCATTAGTAAGTTGTGTCTCAATTTATTATTATTACAGTTAGTATTATATTATTACTCAGTTGGCTTTTGGCTATTTGAGCAACCTAGGGATGTTTCGAAATTATTAGTTTCGATCAATGAAAATTCTTCAAATCGTTTGATGGAAAAATGCTTGGCTTTGTTCCAATCTTGAAAAACAAATTATTTTACATTTTACGATTAATAAAATTGAAAGGGCTACCAGGTTTTTTGTTTGTTACTTTTAGTTATTTATAAAAAAATAACGGCCACAATTTGTTTTTGTTGAAAATTTATACTTTTGAAAGCGCTTACTGAGAAATGAAGATTGAGGGCTGAAAATCTTCCAGTTTTTTTTTTCGTGAACGACAACGAAACTTTAATATATGCAAAAAAAATCGTAATTTTATTTGACACAGTTTAATTTTCATCAAAGTTAAGTTTAAATGGCCGTTGGTGCGAGGAAACGGAAAAAATATATAGATATACTACACTAAGGGAGAAAATTTTAAAATCAAATAGAAACGCGATTTATCTTACTATAAACGTCAACGAAAGTACTCTATATTGGAAAATATTTAATTCAGTTATACGCACATTAAAGTGGCTGCGTTCGATCTGAAAAATCATCCGTGAAGTGACTAATCAAAACAAAATCCAAAAAAAAAAATATTTAAGTTGCATGTTGTCTGCAGTGGAATTCGAGCCCTGATCATGTCTGAATATCAAACAAATTGTGGCAAGCATCCTTGCGCAGTCAGCTACACCCAGACATATAAATTTTGTAGCCTATTAAATTTAAGTAGGTAAAAGTACAAATTTTTTAGACGATGGAAATCGCGTTGATTTTTAATAATTTTTTTGGCCAACGGTTTTTTGCATTTTATATGAAGGAAATCAGCGTGATTTTCTAGCGTTTAAAGTTTACATAAAATTTATAAAATTTAATGGGCTATAAATCAGCTTACCTGAAATTTTAAAAATTTTGGTTGAATTTGTTAAAGTTTCTTGAATTTTTACAGTTTTTATAAAAGGTTTGAAATGTGGATTTATCAGCTGACGACAAGTCATCTCATCTCATGTCATCGAAGATAAAATATCCTCGCGTTTTTGTATCTTTTTGTTAGTTTAAATCAAATTTAAGTTAATTTTGCTTTTTTATTTTGTTTTATAATTTATTTGTAATTTTTTAAATTTAATTTTATTTTATTTCATTAAACTAGATACGTTTTATTTTGCTTTCTTTTATTTTATTTTTGTTTAAATTAATGCTATTTATTTTATTTCATTTGGAGAATTATTTTATTTTATTTTATTATTATCATTAATAAAAATTTATTAAATTTTTAACTT